CAGAATGCCAATCAATGGACCTAGACTCTTTGGAGGAAGTTGAAGAGAATGCTGAAGAATATTGTGAATCATCCACAAAAAGTGATTTTGAGATTGTAAAAGGAGGAAGTAGAAAGGGACATGACATTTTACTGAATGATGGATATTCTTTTGTTGTTAAACATAAAACACCATCAAGTACTATTTGGGTGTGCAGTGTGAGAAGTAAGAAGAAAAGATGTGTGGCCAGAATAAGACAAAATGGAAATTTATTTCTCAAAGGCAATTTGGAACATAATCACAACAGAAAAAAGAATTTAGAAGTGGATATTAAAGTGAAAACAGATTTGAAAATTGTTTGCAGAAGTGATAATCAAACATCTGGAAGAAGCATTGCTGAAAAAGTTCTTCTATCCTATGAACCCAATGCAACTTGTCTTCCTGATATCAACTATTTGAAGAGAATGGCAAACTCAAATAGACAAAAGTTTAGGCCAGTGGAACCTAAAGTGTACAACTTTAATTTAGATGAAACATTTTTGCCTGATGAATTTTTGCAGAAAGATATTTGTGAAAATGGAGAAAGAATTTTAATCTTTGCAACAAACCATCAGCTGAATTTATTATCAAAATCCAACTGTTGGTACATTGATGGTACTTTCAAGATTGTAAAAGAACCATTTTATCAACTTGTCACTATTCACTCATTTGTTAAGAAGAGTGGTGATATGAAGCAAGTTCCTCTTGTTTTTATTTTTCTGACTTCAAAGCATACCAAAGCATACTTACAAGCATTTCAAGTAAATATTTCATATTATCTCTTCAAAAGTGATGATAAATAAAGTTGCTTTTTTGTAGCATATCAACAATCTTATCAATGATTTTCATCCAAAAAGAATTACAATGGATTTTGAAAAAGGACTATGGAAAGCATTATCAAAAGTATATCCCCTCACTGAATTTCAAGGTTGTGTATTTCATTTCACACAAGCAGTATACAGGAAAATACAAGTCAGTTACATTCAAATATATATAACATTATCTATTAAATAACTTATATTATTGAATAGGCTCTTGGCTATGTAAAGAAATACAAAGAAAAAGGAAATGATTGGAAAGATTTCAGAAAATTGATGGCTCTGCCATTCTTGCCAGCACATATTATTCAACCAACATTTGACAGCATAAATGCAGAACTTTGTGAAAAAAATAGATTTTTGGACCTGCTGCAATACTTCCAAACAAACTGGATCAAAAATAAATTATGGAAACCAAATAACTGGTCAGTTTTTGGTTTGTCTATTAGGACCAATAATGATTGTGAAGGATGGCATCAAAGAATGAATAGTAAGCTGCCTGCTAAAGGTTCTTTTTACATGCTGGTTGATGAGCTAAAAAAAGAGTCTGAGTTGATTGCAGTTTATGAGAAATTACTGTCAGAAAAAAGGATTTACAAACATCAAAAGAAAAAGTATATTGACATCCAAAAGAAAATTTTTGATTTATGGGATGATTTCAAGTTGAACAAATTGACATCAATTGATCTATTAATGCAGACATCCCATATCTACTCTCCAGCATAAATATCATTTGTCAAGCTTTATTGTTTTTTAGTATAATATTTAGTCTTTTAAATACATACTTTTAGATTTATAGCTAAATCTTTTATTCAAAAATTCAAAAATAAAATAAATATAAAAATAGGGTGCGAACGTACCCAGGTACGTTCGCACCCGCCCAGGGTACGTTCGCACCCGGGTACGTTCACACCCAGGTACGTTCGCACCCCAACTCGAAATGATGACATCTTTCACAGAGATTGGAGTGAATCTAAGAGAAGAGGAAGTTGAAAATCTTATGAAAATTCAACAGCCTGGAGTTGAATTAACAAACAATTATAATTTGCTTCTGCTCACAGATGGCAGTTTGGGTGATTTAGATTTGCTTCAAATAGAAGATGTTAAGAGAAATATCAATTTTGGTGGAAATATTTTAATTATAAACATTTCTGGTCTATCATTTAAAAATTGCAAAGAAATTTTATCAAAATGGAATATAAAAGCTACAGTTGTAGCCCTTCATATTCTTTTTGATATCATTAATGATGTTGATGAGAATTTTCCAGATATTTACACAAACAATGGAAATTTTAAAGAATGTCTCCTATTTATAAAATACAATGAAAAAAATTATATAAATAATCAAGTAGCACCACCAAAAAATTTACAAAAAATGTTCACAAATGTTTTTTATATCAATAGCATTATAAGAGGAGATCCTTTTCATAGATGAATGCAGCAGGGAAAGATCTCTTCATTAAGAAATGTTGTTCAACAACTGATTTTTAATGAAATTTTAGTGAACACAAAAGAAATAATGGTTCAGCAACAAAGAAGGACTGGAAGAAGGAGATTAAATAGACAAAGATATCAGTGAGAATTGCACAAATCATTCATATTATATATTATTGCTTTCCATGTCTTTTTTATGCAAACATATTATATTATATTTCATTGAAAAAACATTCATATAATAACTATGTATTCATATTAGTGCAGGATACAAATTTTACAAACAAAAAAATGACAAAGCAGCAATCTAATTATGTCACTTAAAAGTTAAATATATTATTGTGCAACATGTTTGTCATATTTGCAACCTAGATATTGAAATATCAGTCCATATGAAAGTGAGGGAAGCTCCAGTGTTTTCATTTAAGAATCATTTTTGTTTATCTATAATATTCTGAATTAAATATGTTCTAATTGATATACTTTGAAGCAATTCTTTCATTAACACTATAAGATCTATCAGACAATTTGGATTTTATATTCTACTCTCAAACATTATACATAACCAAACATTTAAAACAAAAAGAATTACAACAAAAATTCATGCAAGGAAGGATACAATTATAGAATTGGTCCTATCCTCCCCTTCAAGGTAGCAGTAAGTGAAGCTATCCTCTGAAATGACCCTGATGAGTCTTTGCAAAAGGGGAAGATGAAACCATGGTAGGTCAACCAAACTTGGTTCCATTTCACCTAATACTAAATATATACTACATTAAGACATTAAATCATTAATCAACTTGAGATGTGAAGACTACTTGATTCATATTGTGCAATAACTTCTTACTCTTGCATCTCACAATAATGGGGGATCTCCTGAAACTTTGTTGGAAGTTATTCGACTTTCATCAGAACTTAGATCTTAGTATCTAGTTCAACATTACAAAAACCTAATCAGAAGTAAGGAGAGTCAAGGGGTTTGACGAACAGTACAAGTTGATTTCTATGTCTGATCATCCAGCTTACAAAAAAATTAAACAAAAAATATTTCAAAATACAACAATACTCATATGTTTATTCATACAAACAAGCATACAATTATTACAAAATTCAACTTCCACAGTTGATATTACAATAAAACACATCTATACATCATTAGACATACAGTTACAAAAAATTATCTCTTCCATTCAATCTATGCACATTCATCAATCTTATGACAAAAATAAAATGCAAGGCAGGATACAATTGCAGAATTGGTCCTAACCTCCCCTTCAAGGTAGCAGTAAGTGAAGCTATCCTCTGAAATGACCCTGATGAGTCTTTGCAAAAGGGGAAGACGAAACCATGGTAGGTCAACTATTCTTAGTAACCATCAAAAAATTAGAACATAAACTGAACATTTTTTCATCAATCAGTTGTAGATAGTCTTACTTGTACAGAGTGTTCTTACTCTTGCATTCCATACCATTGTGGAATCTCTTGAAACTTTGGTGGAAGTTATTCAACTTTCATCAGAACTTAGATCTTAGTATCTAGTTCAACATTACAAAAACCTAACCCTAACCCTAACCCTAACCCTAACCCTAACCCTGTCAACAAGAACTTCATTCATTGAATTATCCTACAAAAATGTAAGTTATTCAGTTAATATTTGTGTTATGTGTTTTTAAAAAATATTTGGCAGCAGTCTCTATATAGATTTACAAAATCTATAGATAATTAGTTGGATTTTAAGGCCATTTCCATGTTGGCAGCCATTTTGATTGGCATGCAAGGCGAATATTTTAATTATTTCAGTGTTATTTAAATAACATTGACATGCTCTCAGTATATTCTTTAGATATTATTATGTAGATTAATATGCTTCAAACAGAATTAAAATCGGTCAATTATTCACTGACTTAGGTCAAAATAAACATTATAGGCATTTTCCTTCTTTATGTACCTATAATGAAAACAACGGCAAAAATTCCAATTTACTGTAATTTTTATCCAATCCTTTTGATTTTTTAAAACGTTATAGATCTATTTATGCCAGTTCCAAATCATCAAACAGAATTAAAATCTGTCAATTATTGACTGAGTAAGGTCCACTTAAAGATTTCACGCATTTTCATTTTACGCAGTTAAAGAAAACAACGGCAAAAAATTCATTTTACTGTAATTTTTATCCAATCCTTTTGAATTTTTACAACATTATACATCTATTTATACAAGTTCTGAAATTTCAAACATAATTAACATCTAGCAACTACTTCCTTAGCTATGTTAATATCCAAATTTTCTACACATACTGTTAACATGGCCAACATACATATATCTCAAAATTATTTAGGGTTAGCCAGCTATTTCTTATCAGATTTTCTTCTGCTTTATTTTTATTAATGTACAGCATTGTTAATACTGATTTCAATAATTTCTAACAGATTTAACAACATTGGTTTGGGAATTTGCCGAAGCAGAGACAATTCACATTGAAAACTTCAAACTACCTATACACTCCCAATCAACAAACAATTTCCATCTGCCATCCAAATTGAAGATTACAATTACTACTCTTCTATGTAAGTACAATGCTTTGTGTGTCTTGTTGTGGCTGAATATTTTGTGTTTAGGTCACAAACAATAACTCCACATTATTGTGTTAGGGTTAGGGTTATTGCTTGGCAGGGTTACTTTTATGCAGCCAACATATTTTTTTTCCCTTAGGCAAAACCAAAAACCAATAATGGATTTAGACTTTTTTGCTATATGGTCACCAACTGTAAATTTGATTGACCTCTTTGGTGAATTTATTCATCTAAGCCCAACTGAGGGTAGGATTAACGATTTACAACAATTTAAATCATTCATATCCCTCACTATCACACCATTTATTCTCAAAATTGAAAATAGTACAATGATTAAGGAGCAAATTTTTGAATATCTAAAGGATAATTATAATATCTTTCTATTACCTCATCAAAATCAGTTAATATTATCAAATTCAAATCAACTTGTATCAACTTTAATTGTTATAAAAACTTTATTAGCTAACAAAATATATAAAGTCAGAATAGCAGCTTATGGTATGAAATCAACTCATATTCCTTCGATTTTATATACAATTACCAATAACCTTCCCAGTCATGACAATATATTTGATTTTGCATTTAATATTAAAATGGATTATGGTGGTGGTGGTGGTGGTGATGATGATGATGAAACAACCAAGTTACATTTATTTAAAATACCAAAAAGCCATGGTATAACTTTTCCTATTCTTTATGGAATTGGTGGAGGTTTTGGAGGTATATTAATTAAATATTTACCTCCTAATCCTTCGGTCTATAATAATAATATTGCAATTAAATTATACCAAAGTGGCCTTATACATATCATTAAAGCTGTTAATAAAATGGGTTATGAAGCTGAACCAAGAACAAATAAGGCTATTCATCTAAGATATTGTATGTTCAGAAAATTAATTGACATTTTAAAGAGAAATCAAAAATTCTTACACAAATTATGTTTGGAGACAAGAATTAGAAACATCAACATGGAAGAAGGAATTAAAGTTGCCAATAAGATATTAGGTGGTGGAAATGTTTATAAATTATTTCAATTAAATAATTTAAACATCCAAGAATGTACAAGACATATTGATTTGGCTGATTATTTCTATAATATATATCACATATTAAAATTAGCTGAAGCCTATAAATTTGGTAAGGTTAAAAGCCAAAAGCCACCAAGAGAGGAACACTTACATTTATTAATTAAAATCTATAGCTCACTTGGAATATTTTCCAATTATTGGAAGAAATGGAAATGTCCATATATTAACATCAGCTTTACTGGAAATATCACTTGCGATAATAATTTACACAATGAAATTGAAAGTTTGTCTATAACTGACAACAATACAACTCAGCCTAATAAACCATTACCAATAATTCAAATTTGCAAAGAAAATCCAAATGATTGCAAGTCAGACCATTTGATATTTTTCAATAGTCAAGATTTCTCAATAACAGAGAGGGTAATTGAAAAAAAAAACCAGTAAATAAATCCAGGATTCTTCAACAGATGGATAATTGTTTACAAATTGTACAACATACAAAAAACAAAAACAAGTTTACTGTTCAAGTTAGAGGAGGTGGATTTTATAAAACATTTTCATGTAGAAAAAAATTACTTCAAGATATTTACAAAAAGTTTGGTGAAAAATATCCTAATAAGTTTGTTACCAAAAGGAAACAATTCAACAGAACACTATGTATAAACCTTACTGAAGCAGATAAACAATTCAACATTCCCAATCAAATCATAACAAGAAGAATGAAAATGAGAAACAAAATTAATATCGATAAAGATATTTTAGGGAAAAAATCCTTTCTTCAACCTACAATCAAACTTCATTCCATTAATTGTGTTATAGAGTTTACAAAACTTAAATTAAATTATAGATTGAAAATGACTAAAAACCATATACAAAAAGATTTTCAATCTATAATACAAAGTACACAGTGTCATGTTCAACTTAAAAAATTAGGGTGTAAATACCAGCAGAAAGTTATATTATTCAACTTACAAAAGCTAATACACAATGATAATGATGATGATGATGGTGATGATGTATTTGATGATGACAACAATCAACTAACAAATCACAATAAATCAGGGTTAGCAGCAGGAGTTACAATTACAAAGCAACAGGCATTCAAAATTATAAATTTCAAATGTCTGTTATCAGCACCAGCTACCAATAACAACAACAACAATAATAATAATAATAATAGAGAACAGCTGAAAGAAAGAAAAGGTCACCAAATCAGGGTTTATAATATCACCAACAGTCAACATTTAACATATGTCATTGTACCAGGGGATGGAAATTGCCTGTTTAGCTCTCTACTTTACTTTCAGACAAGGTTTACATGTCCAAATGTTTTAAGAAAATTTATTGTGGGACATTTGCTATGTGGAAATCTGGGGAATAAAAGTTTATTTGGAAATGTAACATTGAAAAAAAGGATCAAATGGCAGTATCAGAATATGGATAATTATAAAAAAACCATGTATTATGGTTTAGGTTGGGGGGGTTCTATTGAGATAGAAGCATTTTCGCAATTATTTAACAAGAAAATTGTTGTATATGGTAAACGGTTTCATAAATACATAATTGTGGAAATGACAAATATGCATGATGCCAACATTAACCAGATCCACTGCTTAATGTACAAAGATTACCATTATAATCCCATTGTAAATCAAGTTACAATAGGTAAGTTCAATAAAATAGTTGGTTTTAATCTGTACTATCTTTATTTAATTTCTACAGATTCTGTTCAGGGTTAGATAACAGCCTTACAACTAACCTAAACTATTATAGTCAACAACATCAACTTTACAAATTTCTGTTAATGTTCCTTATGTATGTAAACAAGTTGTGGATTGTTAGGGAAAAACCAGTTTATAGTATTCCTAACAGTTTGTTAGATGCCATTTTGCTCAGTATTAATAATATATTTGTTTCTATAATCTGAAAAAACATTGATTACAATAAACATTTTCTTTATAAAACATGGGTTAGTCAAAAACCATTCTATCAAGCACAAACTTCGATGCTTAATATCTCTAATTCCAAGCCCACAATTTTTTTTAATTTTTGATATGTGTTTTAGTAATATGTTATAAGGCTATATTCAAAAAATAAAAAAAATAGTGGGCTTGGGTTTTGAGCTAGGGGTCAAAACGTAGAAAAAAACATCATTTTTTCCTATTTTACACCTCAAACATATAGTTTGCTTCAAAATTTCAAAATTTTGAATCCAATTTATTACTGTACACCTTCAAATTGTTCAATTTAAAAAAAAAAAAATTCAAAAAAACAGAAAAAAATTTTTAATCGTTAATTTTCTTTCTCCAATATCTCAGCCTACAGATGCCAGCAGATGAAAAGACTTTAGTAAATTATTAATTAGGCATATATATACAAGTTGGCATACTCAACTAAAAAGGAACCCCCCTGTAACCCTAACCCTAACCCTATACTCATTGTGTGGAGAAAGGAGAGTAGTGATACTGTAGGAGAGGATGACAGGTTGAGAGAGTTCTGGAACTATCTTAACAACAGAAATGAGGGTATTAGTCTAACCAGATCTGAGGCTGGTAACACAACCATCTTTCTAGATTTGGAGATTCAACTCAATCCTCTAGTGTTCAAAACTCATTTTAAACCTACAGACAGTAGAAGACTACTTAACCCCAAGTCTGCACATCCCAAACACACCATTAAAGGAATTTTATTTGCACAAGCTCTTAGGTATCTCAGAAATTGCTCAAAAATTGATACAGCAAAGGGACAACTCAATGATCTTAGGAATTTAAACAAAGATCTGGGCTATACCAAATCAATGTTCAAAGAGGCATGGCTAAAAGCCACTAAGAGGATTGAAATTGAGAGGCAAGAATTTGAAGGTATGAAACCATGCAATGGTAGGAGATGCCTAATGTGTCTGAAGGTTAGGAAAACTAACACATGGCAATCAACTGGCAGCAACCAATGGTTCAGAGTCAGGGGAGACTTTGACTGTACCTCTAGTTGGATAATTTACATTATCCAATGTACCCTATGTGAAATACAGTATGTGGGTCTTACCACTAGAACTCTAAGAGATAGGATCAACAACCATAAAGGGGATGTGAGGAATGGATCCAATAAATTGGTCTCTGATCATTTTCGAAAACATGGAATAGATCAGATGACTTACTGGGTCTGTGATTCCATTCCTGAGGAAGATCCTAACAGAGAGAAGACCCTACAGACTTTGGAAGCAAGGTACATCAAAGAGGCTAATACAGTTACTCCGTATGGCTTAAATGAGGATCATGGTTGCTACAGTACTACTATAGTACCACTGGTTGTCTACCATCCAAGTCCTTGGTATAAACTAAATAGAATACTTAAGGACCACTGGAGTGCTCTTAATGATGACAGTCCATTGAAAGCGATTAGGCCTATTATTGCCTTGAAACTGGGGAGATCATTGGGTAGCCTTATAGTAAAGGGAAGAACTGAAGGTCCACCTCAAGAGGATAATACCAACACTCTGAATCTATTAGAATGTTGGCCATCCCCATGGTGGCATATTAAAACAGTCTTCAATAAACCACAAAACAAATTCTCTATTGTGAATAACATAGAGAGCCTGGACAACAGCAATGACACAATTCTCACCATGGCCAATAGCTGGGTGGGGGATGATCAGGATAGTAGTTTTGCAGGTATTAATCTCCTATTGGAGATACAGAGAGAAATTGACAGTGAATGAAAATTAATAGGGCTAGTTATTGGCTGAGTAAGGATTGAACACCTCTTTAATGGGGAACAGGTTGTGGTAGTTGGCAGTGAACAAACAGTTCCCCAACAAAAACACCACATCTGGTTCTTATATCCTAACCCTAAGCTATAGCCCCCTAAAAAGATACAAATTAGTGAAACTTTACAACTAACCCTAACCTAAGATAATGGAACCAACACTTAACTCAGCAGAGAAGAAGGTACAGACTGGACAGACATGGGACCTGTTCTGAACAATTGTTAAATAATAAAGAATGGGGTAATTTGTGGGGAGACACCTCTCTATGAGAGAACAGATGGTTGACAGTTGGCAGTGAACAAAAGTTCCCCAACAAAAGGTCCCTTCTGGTTTCCCAATCAACACAAAGACAACCCATTGACAATCATACATGAGCAGTCTAATGTAACCATAACCTCTACCTTCAACCATCTCTCAGTGTATTCCTTACATACAGGAACAAGTGTGTCTGATATATATAAGGGGTTGAAAGTTTAACATGGGTCTACAGACCTTATGCTACATAGTACCCTAAGGATATATATATCAAAGAGTTAGTTTTGATCCAAAAAAATCAGTGATGTGACAAAAATGTCCCAAATCTGGGCCGTTTAGGAGTTTCGTTATGCGTCATCCTAGACGTTTCAATTTTGTTGGAGGTGATAGAGCTCGAAAAGAGCTTTTCACTGATATGCTACACGACCATGTAGCTCTTACGGTTCAGGAGTGGCTGAGCTTCGAAAATCGAAAATTTTCCGAGTTCGGGTAGAAAAATAAAAATATTTTTTTCTATCTTTCCGACGTAGGGGCAAGCTTGGATTCAAGTTTGAAAGCAATCCGACGATTTTGAAAAATTGGCCTTCACTGAGGCTCTGGACTTGTAAAGATTTCGCGAAAATCATTAATTTTCTAAGTTCATTGTCATGTTAATTACCTGTATAAACATTACATTCGCCTGGGTACTTAGAAAGATTTTGGAAAAAATATTTTCCGAAAATATTCTAAGTCCAGCCTAACACAGTGTTAGGTTTTGGACTTGGAAAAATTTCGACTGAAAAAAGTCGATAAATTTTTCAAAAATATTCTAAGTCCAAATTGGAGGTGAAATCACCCCTTATCTTAGATTCAGTTATATTTCATGGTGCGGTAATGAATAGGGCTCTGGACCGCCCCATGCAAATAGGATTGGCCATATATGTACAGAGGAAGGAACATAGAATTGAATCTAGGTCTTCTTCTGTTACATTTTATGAAAAGTGACTTACCTGATTGTTATACCTGCGATTTTTGAAAGGTTACCCTCTAATTACTATAGAACGTAGGGTCGAGATACTCGTAATAGAGTCTAAGGCTGCCAGTCAGCCATCCTCACCTACCACCGTTAACTTCAAAGCTCCATAGCTCCGCAACCGCTGGGCCGATTTCGTTCAAATTTTGCACAGTTGCTCAGTTCAATTAGATCTAGCACTGTGTAAAATTTCATAACGATCAGAGCAAGTTGAAATTTCAACTTTCGTCAGTGGTCGACTTGCTTTACTGACCACCAAATAGGTGATTTGTTGCGAGATAAAGTGTGGGATCAAACCAGTACCTATCCTAAGGTATAGTAAGCCTCTCAGAGATCAGTCTGGTGGCAATCTAACCGGCCACTTTTCCCCTCTCACTTGATAAAGGAGGAATACCTCCGAAATATTGTGAGTTT